GGCCTCTCCAGGTCCCACTGTGGTGGACAAGGGCTAATAACAGTAGTACCTTCGACGGGGCTGCCAGCTCCGGGGGGCACTGTGCAGAGCACCCAGCACAGAGCCAGTGCTCCAGAGACTTCAGCTGGGATGGGAGCCGCAGTGGCCACAAGATCACAGAGCGGGTGCTCTGGGGACTTCGGCTGGGACAGGGACCACGGTGGCCATGACAGCGCAGAGTGGGTGCTCCAGGGACTTCGGCTGGAATGGTGGCCATGACAGTACTGAGACTCCAAGGGTGAGAACGACCCAGGACATAGATCTCCACAGCAGCACTGGGGACACTTGTGCACAGAACAAGCCTCTAGCCACAGCCACACGGGCCAAGCCCAAGGTGGCCATGGCCTCCACGTTGGATTAAAATAGACTATAAACTATAAAGAGAGCCAAACGAACATTCTAGAACTGGGAAAATGTGCGTATGCGTGTGTGTGTGTGCGTGTGTGTGCGTGTGCGTGTGTGCACGTGTGTGCATGCATATGTGTGTATGTGTGAACACATGTGTGTGAACGTGTGTGTGCACATGCGTATGTGAGCGTGTGTGGATGTGGATGTGTGTGTGCACACATGTGCGTGTGTGCATGTTCTAAAAGGACAGGAGAAGGAGAAGGCAAGAGCTGAAAAATCTAGATGAGGAACAGGTGGTCTCCCACTCTGGCCAGGAGATATGAGAACCAGATCGTCTCAAGGTGATGGACAGTGGATTTGGGCCTGGGAACAGGGGAGAAGGACGGTGGGAGAACACATACAATGTCCACATAGGGTCTGTAACAGACCTTGCAGGCCTACAATTGCAGAGTGATGGGCGTGTTTCCCAGGTACGGATGGAGAGAGGAGGGCCCTAGGCACCAGCTCTCGAGTGATGTGGGCCTCACTGACCCAGGACCAGCTCTGAGGGACGTGGCTTTGGAGCAGAGGAGAGGTCGGGTGAGCAGGCACCTTCAAGGTCACACAGGTGGTCACACGGGAGGTGGGGAGAGGAAGGGCCTGTCAGGGAACTTCCCTGAGTGGCTGCAGAGGAGAGGCCACTGCAGACAGCCAGGAAAGCCCGTCCACTGCAGCCCCTGGTGTCCCCGGGACTGCAGTACAGCGCACAGGGGCGCACACCAGCCCCCACCCAGGAGGGAGGACGGGAGGCCATCCACACGCGGGGACAACGGCAACAGCAGGCAGGAGCAGGCTGAGGAAGAGGGTCCACAGCGAACGTGGATGACAGGGTGGGGCCTGAGGGGCCAGGGGCTGAGCACGCCAGGGCTCGGGAAGACGGGGGTCAATTCTGACCAGAGCCCAGGGACAGGCGTGGGGAGGACCACGGAGGGACGGGGCCCCAGGCTGGAAAGGCTACTCCCAACTCAAGCTAAAGCTCCCCATTCTGTGGGCAGGAGCCGCTTGGAAACGCTGGCCTGAGACAGGCCCCCACGTCGGAGGTGCATTCCACAGGCCACTCCAGAGAAACCGGAGAAGACACCATGTCCACCCCCCCCCCCGGGAACCACAGAGCCCAGATGGGGGACCATGACTCCGCCACTGTTTGCCCACCAGGAACTGCCGGCCACCTCATCACAGAGACTGTCCCCAGAGCAACCCACTGCCCAACTCAAGCCACCCGAGCAGTGCATGGGGAAAAAGGCCGAGGCCAATGGCACCACAGTGGGCTGTCCCACCCTGGCCATCCCGGGAGGAGACGAAGACCAGATTCTGGCCTGGGAACAGGAGAGAAGGGCACTGGGAGAACAAAGGAGCCGAGGATCCCTGGGCCCAGGCCCTCGAGACCCACCTCTGCCCAGCGGCCAGGCATGAGGTGGACATCTCCAGACGGTGAGATGCCACTGCACGCCAACCCCCAGCCCAGGGCCCAAAGGAGAGCTTCTCCCCAGGTCCGGGAGGACACGAGGGGTAAAGGCCACCCTGTGGGGCCCGCACCTGAGGGGCCACCTGGGGAAGGGCACTCAGCTGGCCGACAGCCCAGGGGCCTCTTCTCACGCAGGGTGAAGGTGCTAACCTGGGCAGCTTGGGGGCTGAGCCACTTGTCATGTACAACACACACACGTGTGATCTGTGACAAGAGGAGGTTTTCACAGGCCCAGGTTGTCCTCAGTGTGGCAAAGGGAACAGAGACTGTCACACAGGGCCTCGGCAAAGCAGCAGGAGGGGGCCAAGGGGGCTGCCGGAGACCCACGTCACACTGGGGCCCACCCAGGTGTCCACCAGAGCAGAGCAGGCACGTGGCACACAAGGGTCACCGCCCAAGGGTCACCACCCCAGAGAGACGGACTCCAGACAGGCGCGTTCACAACGCCAGTCAGTCTTTAAAACACCACAACCCACACATGGCACAGAATCCCACACACTGCACTTCCAGACGCACAGAAGCCACTGTGGCCTTGCACCATGCAGACTCCTGGGATGGACGGTGGGCCCCTGGGCACAGGCATGAGGAGCCCACTTCCTTGATGTCCCCGTAATGACTGAGTGTGACCCACCTTATGGTTCTCCCCAGCCGTCCTGTGAGGGAGGCTGGGGTCCGGCATGGGACCTGTAGGAGGCAGAGCCTAGTGATTAGGTCACTGAGGCCACCGCCCTTGGAAGGCACTAATGTCCCTCTCCAGGGACCATGGTTAGTTCTTAAAAGCAGACTTACAAAACAGCAGGCACGGTGCCTTTCCCACCTGATCCCATTCCGTCTCATCATGATCTCTCCTCCTCCCACACTCTGCCTCTGTGACACCACTCTCCATGTGACACCACTCGAGGGCCTCCCTGGGAATGAACTGTGCCCAGCACTACATTCTGGGAACCTCCAGGACCAACAGCTAAATAAACCTCTTTTCTTTATAAAGTCCTCAGCTCGAGCATCTCATCATAGTTACAGAAAATGGACCGATAAATAGGAGTGAACGAAGGAATGTCTCCATCCGTCCGTCCTTGGGGGGTTTTTTTGGATGGATGATTTCCAACTCTACTCTGACCAATTTTGCTCAGCTTTGCATGATTCTCCCCTGAGCTTTGTCTAAAGAGAAGAAACAGAAATTGGCAGGAGTGAATTGCAACAAGAGATGGCCCGTGTGATGGTGCTATTTCCATGCCTGTGTCTAGGGTCAGCGCTCATCCACAGGACCTCTGTCCCTGCACCTATCCCTGATGAGGAGCCAATTGGGAAGCCAGCCCTGGGCCATCTGCAAGCAGGAGGCTGCAGCAGCCGCAGTGTGGGAGGTGGCCGGTGTATGAGCATGGTGTCAATTACATCAGTGCCCAGGGGGCAGGCCAGAAGACCACTGCCAGGTCCATCGGCGTCCAGCTCCTCAGTCAGAGCCACACCACCTGTCCTCTGAGGATGCACAGGTGGCCGGAATGCAGGAGACCTTGAGGCAGCTGGACTGTAACCTTGGAAACCAGCTTCCCCAGTTCCCATCACAGAGGGTCCACATGGGAAACCCAGTCACTGGTGTGATGACACTAGGGGCTTCCAGAGGTTGATCAGGCAGGTGGAGACCCGAGGGCAGAGTCCCTGTGGCAGAGGGTGGAGCTCCCATACAGAGGGCGGAGCCTCTGCGGAAGAGGGCGGAGCCCTTACAGACAAGGCCCAAGAGCTCCCTGACCTTCCACCAGTCAGAATACAGTCCCCCTGTGGACCAGGAAGAGCCCTTGTCAGACATCAGATCTCTTGATCTTGAGTGTCCAGCACCCAGAACCGTGGACAATGACTCCTGTTGTCCACAAGCCACCAGCCTCTGGCGTTTTGCCATAACTGCCCAGAGGGAGTCCGACACCATCCAAGCACCACTCCAGCCAGCTCTGGGGTCACCAGGAGGACCCGCTCGGGAGGAGGGCAGGGCCCTGCTCTCTGCTTGTGTCCTGGGTCTGCACATCCTTGGGCCAACCAAGGCCGGGCAGCCCGAGGGCCCCACTCTGCTCTCAGGCCAGCAGCCTCTGTCCAGCCTGTGGGGACCAGCTGCTGTCCCTAAGGAGCCCGGCCCATTGACACCACTCCTGCTTCTGCCGACGTCCCCCACCTCCCCTCAGACCCTGCCCACGAGGCTGCAGCTTCTGCAGATGGCTGCTCACCTGTGTGAACTGAGATGCAAAAGTGCCCGCAGCCTGCCCTAGCCAGATCCTCGCCTCCTGCCCAGTGCACAAGCCCGGCTTTGCTGGCCAGAGAAGTCCTCCTGAGAATCTTACTCACCAGCGTGCCCACACGAGGCACAAGATCTGGACCCTGAGCTTCAAAGCACACCTGCGGCCGCCCAGGTCATTCCAACTCTGCACGAGCAGCAGGTGAAGCTTGGCCTCCTGGGACAGCGGGAAAAGCCCCCAGAGCCAACTGGTTGGCCCGGCAGACGCTTCTGCCCTGTCCACTAATTCTCTATGTGGGGCTCCTGCCCCTCTTTTCAATTCTGTGTTTTAATGAGGGGGTTGGTTTACCCAGGATGCAATTGGAAGCCATCCCAGGATGAGCTTGGTGACCATGTCCCCAGGTTTGCCCCCACCCCTAGCCCACTTCCTGGACATCAGGGCAGCACCATGTCACCACAGACACAGTTAAGATGACTGCTCTGCAGTCCTGTCCTGGACGGGGCTTCTGGATGATCCCATCTGACAGAGTCCCAGGAACAGTGACCCCATGTCAACAGATGGCCATGGACGGGGCTCAGCCTCCCCTGCGGCTGGAGTCCACAGTGAAGATGACCGTGTGAGGTGACTCCGCAGTGATGAAGAAGCAGACTGGACGGAACCCCTCCCCAGCAGGAGCAGGGAGACCAGAGCCTTCCCCACAGGTGTCCAGGCTCCAACGTCCCCCACACAGGGGTCATTCAGGCAAAAGCTGGCCTGAGCTCCTCCACTGCACCATGGCCGGCCTTGGCCACTATGGCCAGGGCCCAAACAAAGCCCCTCCACCATGGCCTCCAGGTGGCTGTGGGCCTCTCTGGGCTGCCCAAGCGCCCAGCAGGGCTGGCTCTTACCGTCAAGCTCCTCCACAGAGATGTTGGCCAGCTGCTCGCTGTCGCTGCCCGCCGAGAGGGACCGGTTGAGGTAATTGCCCTTGTACAGCAGGCCGGCCGTCACGTGGTGGAACGGCATCTTCTCCCTGCTCACCAGAGACGGGGAGAAGAGAGGCACAGGGTCACTCACTCGGTCCTCCTGTCCTTCCCTGGAGAACCCCCCAATCCCCAGATGTCCAGCGTTGTCACTAAAATAACAACGACACCCTTAGAGGGACAGCCAAAGTGTCACAGGGTCCCCAGGCCTGAGCACCCCAGGGAGCCTGGGTTCTCTGGTTCCCTCCTCTGAGGTCTTCCCTCACCTTCCCCAGGGCTTGCGAAGGTGGACCGCAGGGTCTTTCCAAACCCACCCCATCGTCCACCTGCCGTCCCCCCACAGGCGCCCAAGACACTAAGGAAGCTCCTGCTTTTGCCTCAGAGGCCGTGTCCACTGCTCCTGAGGAAGCACCGCTGAGCCCCAGGCTGTGATCCTGTGGGGGTCCAGGAGCCAGTTTCCCCGGGAAGACAGGTGTCCATCACACCACGCTCCCCACAGGGAGGAAACAGGGGCCACGGTCTGCACCTCTGATGCTGCCCACAGCCTGGCCGAGAGGCCCCTGGGCAGCTCCTGCGCACACACTGAAGGGCCAATCACCCCTGCCGCTGTGAGGGGAAGTGGGGCCACACCCATGAGCTTGCCGCACCCACAGGAGGCCAGGCACCCTCGGGCCACTCTCAGGCCTTCCAGACACAGCTCCTGTGCCCAAGGCCACCACTGGGACTTGAAAGCTCCGGAGGGCCAGGCAGGCCTGAGGCCTCCTGCCCAGAAGAGGCCCCAGGGAGCGTGAGACCCCTGAGCAGGACCTGCAGGGAAGGGCCGGGAACAGCTCTGCAGCAGAGCTCGAGGCCAGCTGGGGCACCCAGGGCTGAGCTCCCCCTGCCACATCCTGGCTCAAGCAGAGGTTCGGCTCCCTGCTGGCTCCTGAGGTGGCCCCACTGAGGTGGTCACCTGCACTGGCCCTTCTGGCACTGAAGCTTGCTCTGCAAGGAGCCACGAGCCTCTGGACCCTCCGAAGTGACTAGGTATAAACGTGACTAGGTGTAAACACACAAGGAAAGAGAGACAAAATGCCCATCTCTGAAGGTGACCTCCAGGGTACACAGACCTTGCTGTCCCTCAACCCACACTCCTTAGAAAAATCCAGATGAGAGCCACCTTCCTCCTCAGGACGTGCTGCTGCGGGCTGGTGGAGGACGGGGCTCCCGTCACCTCCTCCCTGTGCCCAGGACCCCACTTCTCCCCACTCCCTCCAGCCCTGCTAGGGCTCAGAGCTGGTCCCTGAAGGATCCCCCGTGAGAGCCCTAAACAGAAGGGCTGGACCAAGAGCACAGAGCCAACTCCCAGGAGGACGAGTTCCAGAACCAGTGTCCCGACCATCACTGTGACCCACGGCCTCAGCCGAGCACCCCAAGCCACCCAGGTGTCGAGCCCTCGCACCAAACTCAAGGTGTCTAAAGACGAATTCAGCTTCTTCCTACAAAACAGGCTGCGCTTCCTGATGACTCCATTTCTATCAAAGACACTGTTGGCTCACAATGACAACTGGGACAACTGTCACACGGGCGCCAGGTCCCCTAAAGTAAAAGAGGCCCAGGGCTGAGGCAGGAGCCACCTGTCAGTCTCTGGGCCTCCCCTGGCTGACCACAGGCCAGCCATGATGCACGATGCTGGTCACAAAGGATGAGTGGCTTTGCAGTGGTGTTGGGCAGCTCTGTAGCCCCAAACCTGTCCTTGCCCGTGCATCAAGGCGAGAATCTCTTCACTGGAAGATGCTTCACCTGCAGCTCTTCTCTCCAAGCTGACTCTCAGGCCAAACAGGACTGAAGGGAGACCTGGGTGTGTGAACTAGGGCTGTGCAGCAAGGAGGCCAATCCCCATTTCCTGGGGATGTGGGCAAGATCGCTTGAGCTGGGGTTGATGTCCGTGGCCAGGGGTGAAGGCTACTTGGCTAATGCCTCCCCAGTGGCTTTAGCTCCACTCTCATCCCCGACCCTCACCTGCCAGCTGTTATCCTGACCACTGTCCATCTCTTCCTGACCCCGGGCAGATGCCTGCTCTGATCTCCCATTCTACTTCTAGGCTGAGACCCTTGGGTCTGTTCGGGAGCCCACAGTGTCCCTCCATCCTGCACAGATCGCCCCTTCCTCCGCACGGTGACCTCCTGGAAACACCTGTCACCCACACATCTGAAGCCCCAGATCCACCAGACCCACCTTCACAGCCAAAGTCATCAAGTTTTTCTCAAGAGCACACACCCTACCCACACCCCTCGTCAGCCTCAGAAGAAAGGTCCAGCACTTTGCTGAGGAAACTGGTCACAGCTGGATCCCCACGACCGACGCCCCACCTGCTCCTGAATCAGGTACACACTCAGCGCGAGCAGGCTCTGCACCCCAAATGCACGGGCCAGCGGGCAGCGCGACCAAACCACCCGTGTAGATAAAGTCCTTCCCGAGAAAAGGAAGAACGTCCCCACTCCAGCCACAGACCGCGGCCACAGTCAAGGATGCACCTCACCCCAAGAACCTGGGGAAACCCAAGCTGGAAGACTCCTCCTCAGCTAAGAAAGAAAACCACAAGCCCTTGAAAAAGAACCAACCAAGTCCTGAACCAAACTCTTAAAAGATGGATCCTTACACTGAGGGCCATGAATAAAAATAACATTCCCAGAGCCACTGTGCTCCTTGGGAAATACTGTTAGGTACCCATCGGCCACACGCGGGACCCTCCTGAATGTCGTGGTGGGCAGTGCCAAGGTTTGACTGTAACGTGCCTCCAGCCAGTTCACCTGCCGGAACCTAAGGCCAGTGTGACAGTGTTAACAGGAAGTGCATCACAGGGACGAAGCCGTCAGGAATGGGAACAGAACCCCTGTAAGAGGGTCAAGGGCACCAGCTGGGCTCTCCAGCCCTGCCCCTTCTGCCATTTGAGGTCACAGCAGTGAGCCACCATCTTGGAAGCAGCCAACAGCCCTCACCAGACACAGACTCGGCAGGCACCTTGCCTGCTGGTCAACACAGTGCCCGGTCTGAGTCCTAGCTCCACCCTGTTAGCATGAGCCTCCGTCTCTTCCTCTGTGAGACTGAGGTTCGATACATGCTGAATAGCAATGGGAAATACAGATAAGACAGAGCGTGGAATGCTCCCGAGGGCACCAGGCGCAGCCTCTTCAAGTAAGTGACTGCTGAGGGTCAGACAGAGCAGGACGCAGGGCAGAAGGAAGCCGCGGATGTTTTAGGTTGCAAACAAAGACACTAAGTCCTGGCGATGGAGGGTCCACTGGGCCCAGCAGAGGGTGAGCCGCAGGGAGACCCGCTGGACGCAGCAGGCTCAGGGACCAGGCCTGAGCACGGGTTCCAGGGCTGAATGGTGTCACCCAGCACGGGCCATATGATTGGGAGGTGGCTCTGGGAATGGACAGCACCAGCCCAAGAGGAGGCCGACTCCCCGGGCATGTCCAGGAAAGGGGTTGAGAGGGTCAACCAAGAGACGGTCCCACCACAGGGGGGACGGTCACCTGCCTTGGGAGGGCACTCACACCGACTCCCAAGGGCACCCTCTTGGGTGGTGTGTTCTGGCAATTCGATCGGCCCACGGGGCGCCCAGGTGCTGGAAGAGTATCACCCTGGGTGTGTCGGAGTGGATGCTTCTGGGTAGCACTGATGTCTGAATTGGCAGTCAGAGGTCCCCAGTGGGGTGGATCCTTCCAGGCCGTGGGGGCCTGAATAGGGTGGACATGCTGAGCAAAGGAGCCTGTCGGGGGCCTGCCCTTGGGCGTGGACTTGGGCTCGACCCTACTGTCCTGAGTCTAGGGCCTTCGGACCCAGACGGGAACTAGCCATCGGCCGTCCTGCGTCTTCAGCCCACTGAGGCAGACAGCAGACAGCACTGGCTCCGTCACCACCCGCCAGCCCCTTGCAGCACACTCCCCACACACTGAGAGGCCAGCGTGCTGCTCCTCGGGAGGACCACACCAGCAGCCGCCTGCACACTGTCCCATGGGGCCCGCGCCACGCGGCTGAAGGGACACTATCATTGTGTTCTGGACAGTCTGCTCTTCACCCCTAGAGCAATGCTACTCCAAGTGTGGTCCGGGTAGCACTGATGTCTGAATTGGCGGTCAGAGGTCCCCAGTGTGTCCTTCCAGGCCGCGGGGGCCTGAATAGGGTGGACATGCTGAGCAAAGGAGCCGTGCCCCTTGCTGAGATGAGTGAAGGAGACGTGGGGAGCCCTGGGTGCCCTGCAGCTGCCCAAAGCACCACCCAGCTTCTCACTCTTCGTCGGTGGACCTGATTTTGACATATTTCTGTTTTTAATTTTATCTTTCCCAGTGACTCTTTCTCACTGCGTTTTGCCAACATATTGGTCTGCAGAGGACCTGGCCCAGTGAGGAAGGAAGACACCAAGAAGTGCATTCGAAGTCCGTGGAGCTTTCACATGTGTTAGGTGGACTTTTCAAAGGAGCATAAAGCCTTCGGGTGCCTCTTGAGCCCAGTGCAGCGCCTGGAGGCTGTGGGCATCCGGCAGACACACAGCGACCCCTGCCCCCAATTACCAGGCGCACAGGGGCAACGTCAATCTCCTACTCCAAAAGCCAAAGAGCCAGCGAACCATGGCAGGGCTCTCGCCAAAACCCCGTGAGGTCCCCAGGAACTCTGTCTCAGTCAACCTGTTGGCTGCTGGGACTCCAGGACCCCACCAGCACAACTGTGTGGAGAGGAGAAGTTTATCTGGACGCTCGTGGTTTCAGAGGTCTCAGTCCACAGGGGGCCGGCTGGAGGCGAGGCTGGACATCATGGCGGGAGAGGGTGGCAGGACTCACATGGTGATCAGGAAGCAGAGAGAGACTCGGCTCTCCAGATACAATACCTACCCCCAGCCTCGCCCCCGTCCCCACCTCCTCCGGCCACACCCCACTGCCCCCAGGTACCCCTCAGATGACCCCGGCAGGGGTGAACTCACCGGCCAGGTCAAGCCTGAGACCAGTCATTTCTCCTCTGGACCTCCTTGCACGGCTCGCACGCGAGCTCTGGGGACCCTCAGCTA